ACAGTTAAACCAGTTGAACTCCTGATCCTCAGTCGTTAGGTCCCTTAACACGGTCTGAAACAGTCTCGTGACACCGTCCCGAGAAAACATAGTAAAGTCGTCGCCGTTCAAGCGAGCTATCAAAACTACAAGCCCTCACCCCCATCAGCTTCCCCGAGAAACAGAAACTCACCCTTTTCTTCACACCCCCGAGTTAGGGTTAGGTTTCCCGAGGTTGCATCAATGGTGTATTAGGAGCATCAGTATCACAGAATTTCATGGCGTCTATCTTATCTCCAGCATCTAGATAATCTATATCTTATCTGATTAGATATCTAAAGAGATAAGGATAACGTAATGCATGGTGACATATTACTAGTCAGGTGTCTAGCTTATCAGAAGTAGGTCAAATGGGCTATCATACGTTCACACGAGATTTCCCCATTTGTACTAGAGACACATACGGTCGTTCAGGTGATCATCACATAATCAGACTGCTGAACCAACACATGGACAGGATGATGGTTCATGTGCTAGGTATTCTTAGGTAGCCAGTAGCATATTATGAGCATCAGTCATCCTAGGTGTTAGGTGTACTACCAGTAGTATTCAGGGTCTGGTCCCACATGTATAAATACCAGAGCAATACAGCGTAGTACAGCAGTCTGATTTACTCGATCACACACCGTCTACTTCACTCTACTCTACTCTGAGTTTACCACTCCCAAGACAAGCAACAGCTTACCTCTTGTTAACTACCCAGAAACTACACAAGTGAGTGCAGGGGTTAGAGTCAGGGTTAGGGTCAAGGGCGATACCTTGACATTAAGATCAGACTATCCTATTAGTCGATTGTCATTATCGACATCCCTCTTTTGGTCATCTTGTTTGTTTCACAGATAAACTCACTCCACCTGGGAAGTGTCACTGCATGCTTCTCAGTTTGCCCAGGACCTTCAAGAAGCTCGTACCCCATCCCCCCTATTCTCTTTCCCATTCTTGGGGACTCCCACTGAACAACTTCAATTCGTCAAAGGACATATTGCAAGTCTTGCCGCAGAAGGACTTGATAGTCCTCCCAAAGAAGAACTCTACAGAGAGTACATCAGTCTAGCGGAGGCCCTAAGAGAATCAGTCAGGTTAGTGGAACAGGATTTGAATGTAGCAGAAGAAGTACAGGCAAGCGCCTTGCCTACCCCATCATCACCTCACCAACCCATCCCTATACAGTGGTTCTTGCGACGAGTTACAGAATCACCTGAACTAGTCAAGATCGCTAGAAGCGCATCCAAAGAAGAACTCTAGTGTAGAGTTGGAGGACCTGAAGCCGAGCTTATTTTAGCTGCGGTTCAGAACGACTTGATCACAGGAGTAGTCAAGAGGGCTCAAACAGAAGAATCAGGCGGTGACCCAAACGACTTCGATTTGAGCAACGCACCAATAATATCACCTTTCACCAACGAGATAGCAAGGACTGCAGCTCCTCCCTATTTGCCACCACCAGCAGCATATCTTCCAGCGCCCCCCACATACGAAGATAACCATCTTCGTCCCGACTTCTTAGGCCTAGCAGAAGGCCTAGAGCAAGTTGAGCGAGAGGAATCACCTCTCTGTTACAGCCTGAGGGGGGGTTTCTTTTTCTTTCCTAACTATTCGTCATTGACCCTGTAACTGTATGACTGATCCCATCACTTGATATGTTTCACTTACATCAGTGTTTCATATCTATCATGTTTCACTTATATCACGTCTCATCTCTATCATGCTTCATCTTCATCACTGATACAACCCAGTGAAACCTGTTTCATATACATCA